GGGTTCTGGCGTTCGAGGAGGAAGATACCTTTGAAGGGGAGACTGGTAATAACCTCACCTTGAGGCTGGGAGAAGGTGGATCTCCAGGTGGTGAGAGGGAACTGCAAATATTGGATGGAACAGTTGGGAAAAACACCAGGCTGTCCGGATCAACTTCTAGTCGAGCCGTTTGTCAGGTTAATGATTGTGTGGCAGATCTCAGCAAGGCCAAAGACTACCACCGGAGGCACAAGGTTTGTGAGATTCATTCCAAGTCAACCAAGGCACTTGTTGGCAACATTATGCAGCGTTTCTGTCAGCAGTGCAGCAGGTCAGTATGAAAATCGATTGATCACTTTTTATTTTTTTTGGAGATCCTACCATGGCATTCCACTTCTCTCAAGATTGACCTTTCCTTATTATGTGACATGACAATTTCACGATTCATAGCTTGTGAATCGATGCTTCCTTTTAGCTTAGTCAAAGTTCTTCGAATTGTAAACAAAAAATACTTCGGCTATGTGCTCTTACACAAAGTTGTCAATTGGATCTTGCAAAAAACACCATATTTTAGTGTCATCAACATTTCCTTGTATGTGTAGGTTTCATGCACTTGAGGAGTTTGATGATGGAAAGCGTAGTTGCCGTAGGCGTTTAGCTGGTCATAATAAGAGGAGAAGGAAAACGCAACCTGATACAGCTCCCACTAACAATGCGATGAATGATAGCCAAGCTAGTGGTTATCTACTGATGAGCTTACTAAAGATACTTGCCCAAATGCACTGTAAGTCTTCCAATATGGAGTACTTTTTTTTCTCAGTATGTTTTCAAGTATAGCAAATCTTCAAGTCAAATCATTCTAGCTTTTACTTATGTTGGTCATTTATTTGCCACGATACTTGTCTTCTCATTATGCAGCAAACAGAGGGAGCTCTACGGAGGATCAGAATTTGCTTTCTCACCTTCTAAAGGACCTTGCTAGCCAGGGTTCCTTGACTGCGGACAAAAGTATATCTGGGATTCTACATGATTCTTCGAATTTGTTGAGCAATGGGCCGGCTTTTAGAGATTCTGAATTAATATCAGCTTTGACCTCAACCGAGTCTCCGGCCCCTTCAAGACCAAAAGAGCAACCTTGCACTGCTTCTGTGCCCAAGCTGCCAAATAAAGCAGTCAACGTATTTCATAATGAAAGCAGTTCTTTGGCTACTGCACCGGGTCAGGAAAGTTCTGCTGGGAGGAGTAAACTGGCTGGTTTTGATTTGAATGACATTTATGTTGATTCGGATGATGGCGTAGAAGGTGTAGAGAGGTTACCTGTCCCTGCTGATATGGTTTCTGGCTCACCCGAATTCCCGTCATGGGTACAAAAGGACTCTCAGCAGTCAAGTCCGCCTCAAGTAAGTGGGCATTCAGATTCAGGTTCTGCGCAATCACCATCAAGTTCCAATGGAGATCCTCAGGTACAGTATATGCGCTACTGCCGCAACATCTGTTTATGCTTTTTTTCCGGTAGTGTATAGAATTATATGGATGAGTCATGCAGATTTATCAGTCATATTGTGATTTTTAGTAGTAATCTTGTAAGATTTTTTTCTATGTAAAATCACAGAGCCGCACAGATCGTATTGTTTTTAAACTCTTCGGGAAAGATCCAAGTGATTTCCCATTCATGTTACGTGCACAGGTTCGTCACTAGATTTGTTTCTCACACCTCCATTGCTATATCATTTTTCTTGGAGGTCAAATGTCTCACTCTTCATTTCCCACCAGTTCAAAGGCCTAGCTACATTAACATTTAAATGACAGATTCTGGATTGGCTATCTCATAGTCCAACAGACATTGAAAGCTATATCAGGCCTGGTTGTGTGGTATTAACAGTTTATCTTCGTCTACCTGAATCATCTTGGGAGGAGGTATGCTTGCTGCCTTAAAGCATGACATTAAACACTATCTGTGCTTACTGTAAATTGTGTTAATGGTTAGGGTTACTATTGCCTTTTTGTAGCTTTGCTGCGGGTTGAATTCCAGCTTGAGTAGACTTCTAGATGCTTCTGACGATTGCAAGTTCTGGAGAAATGGATGGACTTACGTTAGGGTGCAGAACCAAATAGCATTCATATGCAGTGGTTTGTTCACATGATATATTCTTTGGATAGTTTACTACTTTACTTCCTTTCCTATAAACTATCAGAAAAAAGTGTTTTTCATTTTCTTCTACATCTCAACTCTCGATCTAAGGTTGAGTTCTTTTTCAAATTTATATATATTTTTCTTGTTACAGGTCAGGTTCTTGTTGAAAAATCCTTACATTTCAAAAGCTACGAGTCAAGTACAATTCTGAGTGTCAAGCCTATTGCTATGCCTGTGTCTGGGAGGTCTCAGATTACAGTTAAAGGCTTTAAGTTATCTACACCCTCAACAAGGTATGTTTTGCATAATGTTACTGCTAAGCCAATGAGCCCTTAGCATACTTTTGGTATGATAATCTTTGAAACACAGTTTTTAGATGCTCACTCTAATTTCACGTGGAAGTAAATTTCACTTCACTGTGTTTTGGTAAAGTTTTTTTTGCGTAGCTAAGAGATATTTTTATTTCCCAGGCTGCTCTGTGCAATAGAAGGCAACTATCTTGTTCCAGAAGCTAGTAAAGAGGTATCAGAACATCATAATGACCTCGAGGAGGAGTATCATGAGATCCAATCTGTAAATTTTACATGTTTGTTTCCTGCGGCAGCTGGAAGAGGCTTCATAGAGGTGAATTATGGCTGACTTTTCCTAGTTTGCTCATGCTATGTGAGCTAATACATACTCCCTCCGTTTGGATTTAATTGGCCGCTTTCGTGTTTTTATCTGTTTGGAATTAGCTGTCCACTTTTCGTATTTAGTAAGCATATTACGGAGTATGATTTATTTGATATTTTATGCCCACTTCTTCAAAATAAGATGTCTTGGGAAATGGATAACTGATTCTGCACTTAGGGAGTATGTATGGTATAATGTTAGAAGAATTTCATCATTGAAATAACTCTGTTACCTTTGTTTGTCCAGGTTGAAGATTGTGGTCTTAGTAGCAGCTTCTTTCCTTTTATAGTTGCTGAGCTGGATGTTTGCACAGAAATTTGTACGCTCGAGAATGAGATAGAGTTGAATCAACAAGATTATGTGGATGGACAGGCTGATAAAATGGAAGTAAGAAATCAAGCCATGGATTTCTTGCATGAAATGGGATGGCTTCTTCACAGAAACAATTTGAAATCTCGATTGGGGGAAATGGAGAATCCTAACACTACTTGCTTTTCATTACATCGGTTTGCATGGCTTATGGATTTCTCTGTTGACCATAATTGGTGTGCTGTTGTGAAGAAACTTTTGGATATTCTTTTTAATGGGATTGTGGGCAGTGCAGAGCAGCCATCCTTGAAACACACATTCTCTGAAATGAGTCTCCTTCACAAAGCTGTTAGGAGAAATTCAAGGTCTTTGGTGGAGCTGTTATTAAGATACACTCCCGATAGAGTGGCTGATTTTCTAAGCTGTGAATATAGGGATCTGGCTGGACATGACAGTGGATTTTTGTTCAGACCTAACGTAGTTGGTCCTTCAGGCTTGACACCACTGCATGTGGCGGCTGGTATAGATGGATCTGAAGATGTGATTGATGCATTGACCGGTGATCCTGGAAAGGTACTGACATTTCTCCTCTCTGTATTCTGCATTTGTCTTCTCTTATTTTTATATATATGGTATGACTTTGTAAGGTTTTATGCTCTCCATTTCCATGTTTACCCCTATTTAACTGTTGATTTCCAGAATAAGAAGATCCGATTAATTCATTAATTAACTTCACGAAACGGAAAAAGGAGAATGGCTTATGAGTCATGAAGTTAATTAATTATTCCAACTAACCTAACAACCCCACGAAAAGGGCCCGAAGTTAATTATGGAGTTATTTTTCCAACTAACCTAACAACCCTTCTCAATCCACTTGGAATAACGTTCAGACCAATCTTTGTGGGGATGGATGGAGTTGTTACTGCTTTTCTTAGCATGTTATTAAACAAGTATCGTGAAACCATTTTTATATTGATGTGATTTTGTGCAGGTGGGAATGGAAGCGTGGAAGAACGCCCGTGATAATGCTGGGTTTACACCCGAAGATTATGCTCGTCTGCGAGGGCATTACTCTTACATTCATCTGGTCCAGCGGAAACTGCTCAACAGGAAAGCCTCTGCCCCCAGCCATGTGGCAGTTGATATTCCCAGTGCTCTTACCCCCAAAGATAAATATAACTTGAAGCAAAACGATGGTTCCAGCACAACTTTTGAGATTTCAAGGACCGATATGAAACCCATTCAACGGGGCCCATGCCGGGTGTGTGATCAGAAGAAGACAAGTTATAGAACGGGCGGGCCATCCTTACTCTATAGGCCCGCAATGCTTTCCATGGTTGCAATAGCTGCAGTATGTGTTTGTGTTGCTCTTCTATTCAAGAGCACACCCTATATCAAGAAGTTTGACTTGTTTCAACCCTTGAGGTGGGATTCATTGGACTATGGCTCTATATAGTTTGGGGTTAGTGCTCTAAAAAAACATGTGCGAGCCCTCCTCGCTCGCTCGCTCCTTTGTTGTTTGTATCTGTATGCGTGAATAAAACTGTATAACTGAGGTGTCCTTAGGAAATCCCCATTCTAAAATTCTGCTCCTATATATAATTTACATATGTATGTAATACTTGTATCTTTATACGACGAAGTCGCTTCATTTTTTCCCGCTTTCTAGCTAGCTAGTTCAAGAAATGTATTTGTGTAGGCCTATGTCTGTCCCCTTTCAATTTGACTCCCTATTTGAGTATATTGCCCCTAGAGTAACATTTGTAAACATGAGGATCATCTTTATGTTAACTTGAAAGAATCAATAGTGAGAGATGGTGTGTTTTTATTTTATTTTATTTAGTGGCATCCATCCCCTTTGTTTAATGGGAAAAAGCATACATGGAATAGCAGTTTTCTACCTGCTCATCTGCAGCTAGGTAGCTAGCAAGCACAATCTGCATGCAACATATCCATGGCATATATAAAAGCATGTGTGTATGTTTACAAGCTAATATACACCCACACAATATGGAGATGGAGGAGGGCAGGGACGAAGAAAGGGCAGCGGAGTACTGTGTGACAGGAGGGACAGGTCTGGTTGGGGCAAACCTTGTGAAGGCCCTTCTGGACAAGGGGTACAGAGTTAGAACAACGGTTCGGGATCCGGAGAACGCGGAGAAGGTCGGGTTTCTATGGGACCTAAACGAGAGAGCGTCGAGAGAGGGGAGGCTGAAAATAGTGAAAGCTGATCTGATGGAAGAAGGAAGCTTCGACGATGCCGTCGAGGGAGTGGATGGGGTGTTCCACACCGCCTCCCCTGTCCTCGTTCCCAAGGATCGCGACATTCGGGAAACACTGATTGACCCGTGCGTGAAGGGCACCTTGAACGTCCTCAGATCTTGTCGAAGAGCAGCGGTTAAAAGGGTCGTCCTCACCTCCTCGTGCTCCTCCATCAGATACCGCCACGATGCCACTCGCGTGTCCCCTCTTAATGAGTCTCACTGGACCGACCTCGATTACTGCAAACGCTACAATGTACTCCCTCCATTCCATATTAGTTGTGCGTTGTGATTTTTTAGATACATTGAAAAATGAATGTACGTAGGCGTAAAGTGTTTCTACATTCATTCATTATTCAATGTATCCAGAAATCAACTTTTTTCCACCTGGATGCAGTTGTGGTATCCTTACGCGAATGAATGAATGTAGACATAAAGCGTGTCTACATTCATTCATTTTTTTTCAATGTATCCAGAAATAAACTTTCCAGTTGTGTTGGATGCAGTTGTGGTATCCTTACGCGAAGACGGTGGCGGAGCAAGAAGCGTGGAAGTGGGCGGGGGAGGAGAGCGGGGCGACAGAGTTGGTGGTGGTGAATCCGTCGTTCGTGGTGGGGCCGCTGCTGACGCCGCGACCGACGAGCACGCTGAGGCTGCTGCTGGGGATAGTGAAGGGCATGGTGGGAGAGTACCCGAACAAGACGGTTGGGTTTGTGCACGTAGACGACGCGGTGAGGGCGCATTTGGTGGCGATGGAGACGCCGCGCGCGTCGGGGTGCAGGCTCATATGCTCCACCACCGTGGCTCACTTCTCTCAGATCATTCACATGCTGAGGGCTAAATATCCATCCTACCCTTATGAATCCAAGTAGAGTAGCACTGCTAATCAAATATCCATCTCTCTCTCTCTCTTTCTTTCTTAAACAATCTAATAAATGATTTGCAGGTGCAGCAATGAGGAAGGAGACGATGGCCCCCATAGCTTAGACTGCACCAAAATAATGGAGTTGGGTTTTTCCCCTCCTTTCATAAGCTTGCCGCAGATGCTTGACGATTTCATCCTTAGCTTCCGCCAAAAGGGATTCCTCTCCGATCCTCTCATGGATATTTGATTGAATTCCATTTCCCTTATTATTATTCTTTCTTTTTTTAATTTCGGATTTTAGTTTAATTTATATTAATGGACCATGTTCGTATTACACGCCCTTTTTAGTTTTTATGGGGAGTATAAGATAAAATACAATTTGTGGTTTCATTCTTTTGTTATGCATCAACCTCAACTCAATATGCCAACAATTCAAACTAGCTCGAAAATTAGTAGTGCGCCATCTCAAATATTTAATTAGAACATTGGAACAAATTTATCACATCATTTTGTGTAATACCTAGTAAATAAAATTACCCCGTAAATTTTATTCAAAATATATCCATAATTCATCTTACTTCTTCAAGGAGTATGTCTTTGAAATGTTTAAACATTCTCATTGTATGTTTTCCTTCTATAATCTACTTTATTACTTACAGTTAAAATATAGATTATGCCAATAATTACATAAAAATTTGAAAGATTATACGTAATTTCTATTTTGTAAAACAAAGTTAATGTGAAGTGAGAACATAGTTATTCTTTCAAAATAATACTTATAGTTTGATTTTGTATGAATTTAAAAAAAAAGGAAATTGTATGGATGAAAGTTATGTAGATGAGAGAGAACAAATGTGAGTCACAAAAAAGTTTTTCAAAAACGGAAAGTGGAAAATTCGTTTGGAACAACCCAAAAAAGAAATAAGAATTATTAATTTTGGACGAAAAGAGTAAAATGTTTTTCGTAGTTACTATTAAGTTTTCTTTTTATATTTTTATTGATAAATTGGTAAAATTAAAAATTCTAATAACATTTTATATTGTACAATTTTTAATATGTTTTTGAGTGATTTAATTTGTAGTTTTTTTTATTTTTATACAGATTTTCAATTATAATAATTTTAAAAACAATGAGATTTTATACATAGTTGGCAACAAAATATTGGGCCTTCGGTAAAATTAGCACTTCCGGACTTTTCCGGGTCTAAGGAGACGAAATAAGGAATAAAGGTGAATTGAATTGAATCAATCAGAACAACGCCATATCTATTCTCTCTCTTCCTGCTTTTCATCCAGATCCTTCTTCTCACCTGGGCACCGCAGCCGAAGAAAGAAAGAAAGAAAGATGGGGAAAGGCCAGTCCTTCAAGCAACAATTCACTCCCGGTTCCTTCTTTCTCTCTAATCATCCTTCTTTTTCTCTCTCTCTCGTGTTAATCGTTATTCCCCATTCCCTAAGTAATTAAATACTCCGTAATTAATTACAGAGAAAAGACTCCAAGAATCGCAAGACATGATTGCCAAATATCCTGATCGTTTGCCTGTACGCGTTCCTCTTCCCCACTCCATTTTGCTTCTTGATCTTTGTTTTGGGTGATTTTCATCTCTCAATTTTTCTAGGCTTACTGTAGTCTTGCTTGAATCGCAGTCAAATTTGGGGATTTTAGGTTTAGCTAAACCCAGTTATGTTTGTGTATGTCAAACTCTGTCTTAGACTTGTAGTGCTAATCTCAATACTCGAAATTAGAGAAACTAGGGTAAACGAACAGAAGTATTTAGGGAAGGGTGGATGATGTTATAGAAGAGCTTCATTAGATATAGAAATTTATTAGGATTTAGGGCATTACGTTGCATAGCCTCTTTTAGTGCACACTGCTTCAGTATCCATGTAAATTGTAGAACCTCCAAACTCAAAATTTCTTTACTGATAAGGATCTTCTGCACTTGCAATATTTCTTTCTTTCCGTACATTGACAATGCCGTTATGCCGTATAACTTCAAAGCCTTGTATGCATCAACCAGGAAGTGTTACTATATGAGTGACAAGGTGACAGGATTCATAAATACTTAGAAGTCAGTAGCTATAATAAACAGGCTTGAGCTTTTGGTTGAGTCGCTTCTTTGACATGGTACCGGAGCCTTGTTGACTAAGAGGTCACAGGTTTGAAACGCCGTGCTACCCAATTCTAAAAATTTAAAGTTTCACGTGGAACACTTAAAAAGACTATGCCTGCACTTGAGAGGGTGTGTTAGAATATAAAAAATCTTTCCAAGGCGACAACCATAAGCTTGAGCTTTTGGTTGAGTCGGTTTGTTGACAGTAGCAATTGGTAGGTACTTCAAGGGGCAATGTCTTGTTAAGTCATGCAAAATATTTGCATTTTTTTGCAGGTGATTGTGGAAAGATATTCAAAAACTGATCTCCCCGAGATGGAGAAAAAGAAGTAAGCAAGCGGTGTTTAATTTTTTTTTCCTTGTTCATTTTTGAAACACCTGGCCATTCAAAAGTTGCGTTAATGATTGATGCATCTTCGCGTACATTTCTCTTCTTTACAGACCACCTCAACTTACTTACTTCATAACATTGTGCACATTTTGGAAACTTGAGACACATTTGCTGATATTGAACAAGTCCCTATATCCTAGGGCCTTCTCTAAGTTGGCCTTAGATAGGATCATTACTCATCGTGCTCCCTTAACTCATTGCCTCCTTTCCCTAGTTAATGAGTTTCTTTCTCGGTCTGCGATATGCAGATACCTGGTACCACGAGACATGCCTGTTGGGCAGTTCATCCATATCTTGGGTGCTCGGCTTCATCTGCCTCCTGGCAAGGCTCTGTTTATATTTGTCGAGAACACCTTGCCACAAACATGTAAGTCTACCTCTCCTCTCATTTTTCTTATGCTCATTCTTATTTTTTCCTGAGAAAGATTTCTATTACCATATTTCTCTTTGTAGCTGCCTTAATGGAGTCCGTCTATGAATCGTTTAAAGATGAAGATGGGTTCTTGTACATGTGTTACAGTAGCGAGAAAACCTTCGGCCATGAATCAAGTCGACCATGTTAACATTCTGTACATTCGTCTGATGATACAATGTGTGCAAAAATAGTTCATGAACCTTATTTGGAGATGTGGTAGAAATAAAAACCATATGATAATTGTGGAGATGTCCACAATTACATTCTGTACATTCTTTTGCGCCCATAATGGCAAATATTTTATTTTACAGGAGTAATAAATTACTAGATGTAGTAATAAAGCCATAATAAAAAGCACTCAGAGGTCAAAGGTGATCCATGTAGGTTCGTCAAAATGGCCTATTAATTTTTGACCGGCGCTCTTGCGCCCCGAGTCATCCGCCACCTTGGGGTGCCACGCCGGCGTGCCATTCTCATATCCATTTAGCGTCAGCCTCTGCAGTGCAGTCCCATCTAGCCTCACCATGTATAGGTCGCCGTACGGCTGAAACTGGTGGGGCAGCGACACGGGTTCCGCCGTCAGTCCACCCAAGTTTGCCGTGAACAGCAGCCACTCGCCATCCGAGCTGAAACACACGTGATTCAGCCGCTCCCTGTCTTTCATCTCGTAGTCAGGAGAAGATGATCCTTCCGGCAGCGGCGGCGGCCCGGCCACGTGGATTTTCCGAGTGATTTTCCTCTGGCGAAGATCGGTGGAGTACAGAGCTGACCAGCTCTTGAACGGCTCCGCGGGTGGTTCGTGAGCCGAAATATAAAGCAGGCGTCCATCCTTCTTAATCAAGGGACGGTCATGAAAGAGGCTGTCGGAGGGAGATAGCAACTGCTCAAGCTTCCCGACATGGGAGGAATTTGGCTGCAAGTAAATCTGAGACGATCCAGATCGCTCGGAGACAAAGACTAGCGCGTCACCTTCGTAGAGGAACTGGCCGTTGAAATTAACGGAGACACCGTCCGTGAGGCGGCGCTCGGTGGGCCTAGCGGAATACGGTTGGTCCGGGAAGGCTGCGAGTTGAACGGAGAAGATATCGAAGCCGTATTGAGGTCTGCCTACGGTGGCGAATGCAACAGTCCCGCGAGGATCCATTATCTGCCAGTCCAGAGTTTAGATTCCTATGGAACAATTCTTCATCGTAATCCATCTAGGAACAATTCCTATTAACCGATATAGGTACGAAATGAAAGAAAATAAAAATAAAACGCGGTAAAAAAATTATTACAAATCTCAATCAACAAACCAAAATATTTAAATAGTTGGTTTTGCTAAATCTGTTAGACTAAATTCACTCTCTGATCTCTATGAGAACGAGGCAAGTATTCTCAAACTAAATTTGCATGTTATCTTTATCTTTTTGCATTTTTAAGGGTAAATTTGTACATTTATAATAAATGAAATAGATTTCGTAACACTATATATACATTTAATTTAAAATAAATTTAGTCACAAGACAAAAACAATAGCAGATGATGGATATAATCCACTACTACCACCCGGCAAGTTCACAGGCGTCCGGGGGTACAAAATTCTGATCCCACATGACCTCACCAACCCCGGTAGACTGACCAGGTGGATGTCGGGGGTCAGACATGTGAGATTGTGACTACATTCGCATAAGGCTTAATGTCTGACTAGGCTTGACCTCACCGTCCCCGTTAATCTGCCCGGGTGGATGGCTTGAAGACTGCCTGGGTGGATGGTTTGAAGACTGCCCGGGTGGATGACCTGAAGACTGGATGACTCAAAGACTGACCGAATGGAAGAACAGGAACGTCGGGACGTGCTTGTTTTTATTATAAATACCCCTAAAAGCCTAATTTGTGAGGCATGTTTTTACTAATCCACACGGCTTGTACTTTGTAATAGCTCCTATTACCAATAATAACAAACTGGGTTACACGTGTTCCCATCTACAACCCTTCCGATTACTTTTACTTAGCATTTGCGTGGTAATTTACACTATCAAATTGGCGCCATCCGTGGGACCTCTTTACAAAAAGAAGCCATGACGAACAACAATATGGAATCCATCATTTTCCAAACTTCCACCCCAACATTTGCGTGGTAATTTACACCATCAGCAGGCATCAACTTTAACTGAGGACATCTTTTTTTACTAGCATTAACGCTTTAGATAGAATTATAATAACGTAGATTGATTTTGAAAATAATGATGCTAAAATTTTGAGCCTTATTGACATTGGGTGGGATTTGATTACATAGCTCAAGATTACAATAATAACTTTATTGTAGTAATAAAAAGGTTGGTAAGTGGTGTAGTTATGAAGTAGAGGCGTGAAAAAAACTTTGAAATGGATTAGAGCCAAAAATGATGGCTGCGAAATATTGTGGAGTATGGGAGCAAGGATTTGAAGTAGTGGGCATTGGGCAATTGAATAACGTGACACGTAATGACGTGATTAGTTGTATTTTAATCCTATCTTCGTTAATTGCAAACGTCCCTTGTTGATTTTGACAAATATTTTCGTTTTAATCTTCTTTTTCTTTATTCACAAGTGTCATTTCTTGACACCCACCCCTCGTTTTCCATTGGACTTAATTCCTAGATCAAATTTATTTGCTTTCTCTATTTAAATTTATAGTGTTCTTTTTGATTTATGAAGTTAAATAAAAATTGTTTTTTATTTATTTTATTCGTAAACGATGATGAAACTGAAAATAACAAAAATTAAATATTTAGAAATTATATACTCCGTAATATTCTTTGAAACAAGAAATGATATGATTATATCATTTTACCAAAAAATAACAAAAAAAGTTAAAAGTAATAAATAAAATTTAACTGTGTCAGTGATAAAAATTTGGGATGGGAACTGGGGATTGGGGAGTGCTATCTTAAATTTAAAAAATAAAATAAAAAAAGGCCGGTGAAAATTATTGTGGGAGTGAGCCAGTGAGGGACATAAAAACTGCCGCGGTATCGCGAGTTAAACTGGTACCTTCCCGGTGTCACCGGAATGTCTGCAACCCTCGCCGTAGTTCCACTTCCGACCCCGACCTCGTCGCCAAACCGCGCTATTAGTTCCCACCATAGCATCTTTCCATTATCCTCTGGCAGGATAAGAAATTCAACACCTATATCGTCGTCTTCATTCATCAGTGTGTCCCATGGCTTTCTCTGCCGGAAGGCGTCTCGCCGTTCATCCCCCAGACATAGACCCCCTTTCTCCCCCGTCATGGAATGGCAGGATTGCACGTAAATTTCCTCCATCGCTCTCTATTACGGAGTATTATTGTTATTATTTCGGTCTACGGAGTATAATTTATGAACCATAGAAGGAAACGTCACTAATGGATCTGATTGATACAGGGTGAAGATGGACATAGATGTGTCCAGTTCGACTGCTTATAAATGTTACTCCGATCGGGAAGCCATTCCTCAGTGGATGCCGTTCATTTCCTCTGTTAAGGTGCGCGTTTTTAAAACCTCTTGAATTCATTCCCTTTTGTAGCTGCTTTGGTAAGAACCAGATCAAGTTTGATTTCATTATCGCCTTTAGTTTATCAACATTTGATTTATCAACTTCCTGAGACTGATCGTGTTTGTGAGATCCCCTATTTTTATAACCTAAATCTTGTGAGCTTATAGATCCTGAGAATTTGTTCTGTGCCCCGGCCACATCGATGTTCAAAATTTTGGCACTTTTCAGTAGTACTATACCCTGGATCACTCTATTTATATATACGGATTACGGAGTATTGAAAGTTAGAACACCAACATCACCCTCATTATAAATTGGAATTTCCAGCTAAGAGATGTTGATTTAGATTGTATTGTTAGATTCTGGAAGATAAGCCGGAGCTATCTCGATGGTCACTGAAGTATAAAGCATTTGGACAGGATATTGAATTCTCATGGCTTGCCCATAATATGCAAGTAAGGCTATATTCATTTAATTTTGTTCCTTCTTGGTCCTCATTAACTTCTGATTCTCTTTCATGCACATTTGTGGTTCTGCCATTAAACTCTATGCTAATGGTATTTACCTGTTGTGAGCAGCCAATTCCAAACAAGAAAATTCACTGGAGATCCCTGGAAGGTCTTCCTAATAAGTACTGAATCTTATAACGTCAATTTACAGATTTACTGATGTTTCATACTTTATGGAGCACTATTGCGGGTGTTTTTTTGGTTAACTACTGCTTCTAGTTTTTGCCCATAAACAAAACTGGATGAAGTGTAGAAGATTGTACCCGTTCCAATTTATCTGCCTGGGTTGATTGAATAACGCACTTTAAGGAAAAGAAATTACTTTGTAACAAAAATATAATACTTCGTCTAAAATCACCTCATTAATATGTCTTCTCTCTTGAAATTAAAAAGGGCCATTTTGGCAATGCTTTAGCCTCGGGCAAGTAATGAACTAAATCTAAATGCGATATCAAACTTCCATTGTTTCTTCCTTTCTACTCCGCATCAAGGTTTGGGCAACAAATGCATCAATGCATGGAGGGTCTATCAGAAACCTCTCTGTTTTTATAAGGTTAACAGAAACTTCAATCCTCAAACCCTAATGGATTTGGGATTATACTGGATTTGTTATTGTTGGAAAAGGGTAAATTGAAATGTATAAGAAGGGTATATTTTGGGGGACAGTTTATATGCATAGATTTCTTAGATAAAGGGAAATTAGAGGATTTTCCTCTGGGTAAACTTTGTTCACCAGAGATGGAAATGATCGGAGAGAGTGGGGAGATCGGAGATGGAAATGATCCATTAAGTGCACATGTTTCATTGATAAATAAAACTTCAAAGATAGTATGCGTTTTCAATATGTTTGCTGTGAAATGTTTCATGAACTCCAAATGGTGCTACGATCTAAATACTTTCTTACCTATGATGACAGGGGAGTTGTTCGTTTTTTCCCTAAAGGTGCTTCATCATGTACTGTGGAGGTAGGTCTTCCTCCCTGCCTATTTCTCTTTACTGTAAGCCCGAAAGAAACATGGTTGAGTAGCTGAATGTGATGAATATAATACGAAGTACTACTTCATATACAAGTTACTCCATAATAGAGTATTGGTAAACATGTGTGGTGCACTTGATTTTTTGCATTACCTGTTGTAAATGAAAGTCTGAAGAAAGCTGCAGTGTGTCATATATTTCAAAAAACCCAATGGTTTAATGCAGGTTTTAATCTTTTTTTTGTTCGACTAAAAATCAGACCAGTGTGTCTTTACATTCTCTTGCTCTTATTTCAATCTTCACTAATTTCAGCTAACAGTTTCGTATGAAGTTCCTTCATTGTTGATTCCCGTGGCATCAGTGAGAATTCCAAACTCTGATCTACAATCCTAACTCAGATTTTGGTTTGATAGTGAATCTTTCCTTTGTGAATCTTCTTTCTAATTTCCTTGGTGCGCCCAGGCGTTGCGACCTTTTCTTGAAAGCTTACTGGTCCGTGGGTTAGAAGGGTTCGCAAACTTTGCCAAGGGCTACACAGCTGGTCAACCCATTGATGCCAATGCTGTGGAAAAGTGACCAGTGATTGAATCTATCTACTCATATGTTTGCCTGGGCTTGTTTTTTAAGGTTTAAACAAGCCATTGATTGTAGTAAAAGCAACATAAGAGCATTAAATAGGTACTACTAATTCGGTGTAACTTTGTATTCTAAATGCCACCTGCAGTCATATCGTTAATCTCTCTTTATACACAAGTGGAAATGATAAAAATGCATAGTTTACAAAATACCCCTTCAAGACCTTTAACTTTCTCCATGTATACTAACTGCATTACTGTATCAAATCTTCAGATCGAGCATTAATTTATTTTATACTGATGATCAATGTTACATGTACACGTAGAAAAAATAAATATTTACGAGTACATTAACAAAACAGGCTGTGGATCTGCTCTATACACATCAGAAAATTTCTAAAACAAAAACACTGCAGATGTCGTCAATACATACATATAAGGGAGTATTCAAAACCAAATCATATGTACAGAAGTTCCTTCCCAAAACTTGCTACATTCCCAAAGCGTGCAGCTCGTTCGCGTGTTCTCTACACAGTCAGTTGCTGCCGCCATTGTTATTACCACCACCGTGCAACAAGCTCCGCAGGTTACAGATGGCCTCCTCGGAGAAGGTGCAACACCTCAACCTCCGATGATGATGATGAAGATGATGTGTCGGCGATGGCTCGAGATGTTCGAGGGAAGCAAAACAGACGACTATGACGGTGAGATTGTCAAAGGTTTTCAGACGGAGGGCCTCCGTGACGAGGTCCTTGGCGCACTGTTCGGGGTCATCGTGCCTCCTCAGCCCGCGTCTCACGAGGCTGACTGCCTGTTGGCTAGACATCACATCCCAAATCCCATCGCAGCCAATGATCAGGAACTCGTCGTCTTCCGTCAGAAGGATCTGCTTCAGTTCAGGCTCTGCCGTTAGCGGGGAGGGGGACCCGCGAGGCAGCTTCATGTCCCAGTCCCCTAGTGCCCGAGTCACGGACAGAACTCCGTTGAGATAACCGTCGTCTACGAATGCACCCAGTGCTTCCACTCTCCTCCTCTCTCCCGAGCAATTAGGTCTGTGGTCTTGAGACATATCGAAGGCCTCCCCTTTCCTGCTAAGCACTGCCCGACAGTCCCCCACATTGGCCACCATCAACAGCCTGCCAAACATCATACTGTTATTGATTGATTGTCGAACTGTTTAGACATTTGTTTCATTTCCACACTTCAACAACGTACACGGATGATTGAAGAACATTTTACCTTCCTAGTACGAGGGCCGTGAGGGCAGTTGTCCCGGACGAGGTGCTAACGCTACGCTCGTCGGCCAGAGCAAGGTCAGCGAGCAGAAAGCCTCGGCGCAGACAGCTCTCCAGCTCTCCCAAGAAAACAGGATCATCAATATTATCACAAGTTTGGGGGAAGTGAGCATCTTTGAAGAAGAACCTAATGGCATTCTTTCTGACATAAGCTGCCGCCTCGGCTCCTCCGTGGCCATCAAATATCTGCAAAGATTTTACGGAAGACCGCCGTCAAATATAACACGAACTCGGTAAGAAGTAGCTAGCTACACGCGATGGATCGATCAGAGATATACCCCGTAGAAGGCGCTGGGATTAGGGAGTGTGAAGAGGGAGCCGAGATGCGCGGGCAGGTTGTCAATCCGGACGTGCTCATCCTCCATGTACCTGCGCGGCCCAATATCGGAGAAGCTGCCGGAGCGGATGCTGGGAACGAATTCCAGTGGTGGAGGAGGGGGAGGAGGAGGAGCAGCCACTTCTGGCGGCGGGGGTTTAACATCCTGATCAAAACAAAACCAAAACAATCAAGCAAGATGGATGTGGTGTCAATTTCACATCATGGCCGGGATGAATCAAGCAAGCAGAGTAGCAATAATAAGAAGAAGAGAGACAAAAATTGGAATCAGCTCGGATTTGTTTATATATATATATATGAAGCGGAGAGTGTTAATAAATTGAGAAGAAAGAAGGAAATATGAATAAGATGGATGATACCATGGCGGCACAACTAGGGGGGAGATCCAGGACGGGGATGATGCTCTTTTGCACTATTATCTCGCCGCCATCAACTCCCATCTTTCTTTCTTTCTTTCTTTCTTCTTTCTTCAGAAATTATTATATACAAGTACTGTTAATAATAATGACAATAATAATAGAGTGAAGGAGGAGTAATTAAATAGCTAAGGCGGTACGGTGATGTGGAAAGTGGGTGGCAGAGACTAATGGAATCCAGAGCTGCTTTGGTGGTGTTCTTATAGGAACCGCTATCTCAGGTTTTGGCCAATGGAATGAATCCTCCTCCTCGATCTTAATAATTGAATTTTATATATGAGATATGATGAAACAAATTAAAATAAGGCATGCAGTAGAAGAAGAAGATGATGATGACGATCGTGTGTGTGTGTTTGGGGACTATGAGAAGAAAATAATAATGCAGGAAGGAAAGGTTCCTCCTCCTCCTCCTCCTCTTGTGATCTGTGGTTTTTTCCAGAAGAGTTTTCAAGTTGGGTGGGTGGGTAGGCCGCCCCCCGGCGGTCACATTTCTTCACAAGTCTAATTAATAATTACCCCGGTATTATTTATTAGTACGCTGCTTCTTCTTCTTCTTTTCTTTTAAGGAAATTATTTTACGCATTTTGACTTCATAAAAATTGAAAAAGTGTTGCACAGTTTTTAAACAATAGTGTGAACAGAAAAATTAATGGTAATAAAAATGGAAAGTGGAAAAAAAATTTATACGCCTACTCTCCTTGTTTAACTTTGATGAGTTTATAGAATTTATGAAAATTGTTTAAAAGTATAAAATAAAATAATTTAATCTATTTAAGAAAACTAATTTCAGATCACATCCGCAGTATTTTTTATTACTGGTATTTTTTTTATTGCTGAGTGCAATAATCTCAAAAACAAAATTTAAAAAAAAAAGGCAGAGCAGTAGTGGGGTTGACTTTTAACAACGCAGCTTCTCTGCATGTGTTGTTTTATTCGCTTTTTAGCTTTCTTTATTTTAGTTTTGTCAGTACTCTGGGTATTACGTGTTTGTATTTGGTGAGACTTCTCTTACCTCCTCTGACAAATACATTTTCGGCCCACCTTCAATTTATTTCTACATTTTTATTGTTTATTTAATAAAATAAAATATTCCTGACATATCTTATTTTGAAAAACTTTTCATGTAATTTTTTTATATATAAATTTTATTTTTTATTTTTATACCAATATGTAAATAAATGAACTGAAAAAATTTAATATTTTACCTCGGGAATACAAGTGTGCCAAATATTTAGGAAGGGAAAGAGTATTCTCTTTAACTTATTATTATTATTATTATTATTATTATTATTATTATTATTATTTATTACTTATTTTGATTATCATTAGATCACATCACATCATATCAAAATTTATACAAATCAAATCAAAATCAATAAGATTAGATAAAGAAAATAAATGTAGAGTATATAATATGTGAATGAGTTATGCTATTGTGGTCTTTAGCCCAAAACTAAAATGTATTTTCTCCGTTCTATATTGGATACCACACTCTAAAAAATAAGCACAATTTCATTATTTTAAAATTTTTTTAATTACAAATTAGTACAGAAATAAGAAGTACAAGTTACATCTTAAAATTATACAAATAATTTTATAAAATAAGAAGTGAAAAATATTTTATTTTATCAAATTATTAATAAAAATATACAAACACACAAAAATTATCGAGAAATCATAATAGTGACAGTGACATTCAATTCAGGGTGGATGGAATAGATTTTTCCACATACTTTTCATGAGCTTACAATCATATTTTCTTTTTTTATAAAAGATCTATTACATAAAATCATTTTATACATAAAAGTTCATGTAATGAGTAGACTTAAGAACCATAAAAGAATTGTCATACTTCTTCTGTCCTAAAATTAACTTTCCATTTGACTTTTCACGGTCTCCAATGCAATATATTGACCATCAATATCTCAATTTTTATTTAAATATATTTTATAAAAATTATATATTTCAAAACTATGTTTTAAAATGAATCTATTGCTAATAAATTTATATGAAAATTCAATGAATTTTTTTCGTAATATACGGTCAAAGTTTTAAAAATTTGACTACAAAAGTTAAACTGAGAATTTAATTTTAGGACAGAGCGAGTAATATATACCCAAGTTTCTCTCCCTTAAAAATCTCACTCTCTCAATCCAACAATGTTTGCCACATTAATGAAGAAAAAATTGAAATTTTTTAAATTTATTTTATTTAAAGATTCATATAGAAATAGAAGAATAAAAATTACAAACAAAATAAAAAATGAAAAAAATATTTTATTTTATCAAATAATAGATGAAAACTTACAAATAAATAAAAGTTCCCGCATTTTTGAATAGTAAACTGCAACATTCTCTTTTGGGACGGAGAGAATACTTTTAATTTCCCAAAATCTAAGCAAAATATTTTTTATGGCGTAGGCCTTCCATTTGAATTTTTTGGAAGGTTGCGTTTCTGGAACACTCTCCAAGTTTTCAACACTGTTTTTTGGGATAAGTGTTGGACCGATTTTTCCTGGAGCTTGTTGAGAAGTTCTTAAATACTGTTGTTGCCATAAAAGGAATTGTAAATAGAAGAGATCCATAATATGATTTTAAAAAATATTTAAAGAGATGAGAAAAACTTGTATATGAAGAAGGTAGAGATAAAGCGTTAACTTTTATAAAAAGGGTGAGTGGTATTTAAAATATGAATAGAAAAAAATAATTTTTAAATAAAGTAGTCATTAAAATAATTATACCACCTTTGGGCTGGTATTTTTGTACACCCTAACCATATTTGTCTCGATTCTTGAGGCGGAATCTGTATTATACCAGGAGTTCAAAAATATTTGAATTTGGGTTAATTGCTTTATTTAAACCCCTTTCATTCTTCCTTTTCTTCTTCTTCTTCTTCTTCTTCGATCAAATTAAAACAAGTCTGAGTTTTCTTATTCTCCGCCATAATTAAATATGAACCCAATTTCCCATTCATAGTGTACTTTCTTGTTAAATGTAGATTGTTCTTCGCAGGTTGGATCGACACTGGAGAAGTTCTTCATGAATTTTCATAAGGACCTATTCTTGCTGCAAATTGATGCTAAGAAGGTCATTTATTTCACAGCCGTCCATCATGTTGTCTATTTTGTTTCCTTTCAATGTTATGAAGAGCTTTACTAATGTGTTGTTTTGATCTTTCAGCTTGGAGACGGATTGGTTTACAAAGCCGTTGATGACACCAATGTGTTTCCTCATTTCTATGGCCCTTCCCGTAGCTTTAGTCCTCTCCCACTTGATGCCGTTGTGAAATCTGAGCAGCTGGTCATGTCTGAAGGGAAATTCAGATGCAGTTTGTTGAGCTGAGTGGATCATGTCTTTTGTAGGAAGCTAGTTATTACTTAGATGGTTATTTTGTTGTTGCATTGAATGAAACAAATGAGTTCATTAAATACGGGTTCGTGAACTACGGAGTTATTAATAAGTTTCATAGTTGTTTGAGTTTTTTTAACGTAAGTGACATGCATTCAATGTTACAAGAAGCATGCCATGAATAATGGGCAATGCATACAAATGCCCTCTTTAAGGTTTACAAAACGCCTTAATCTCCTCGTCGTCATGTTATATTGGTTCTCCAAGAAAAAAAACAGGTCCTTGCCAGTTCCAAACTGAAGAAGAAAGAGTATGTCCAGGCTAATTATGGATAGTGTAAAGGAAAGATCTTGTCTTCTTCCTTCCCTCTTCTTCATTGCTCCATCTCTAGTTTGTATTGGCATTTTACTTCTTGTTTCTGGTATTTCGGGATATAACCCGAGACCCGTCATTTTCAATTTTGGCGATTCCAATTCTGATACAGGAACGTACTTTATCATGCACGGGAAGATTGCACAGCTCCCACAATCTGTCATCCAATCGTTATCACTCCAGTTCCAGGGTCGTATGTCGGATGGACGATTGATACTTGATTTCTTATGTGCGTACTACACACACCACTAGGAAATCTACTCCATCAATTGCTAGGTTGATGTTGTAAGTTGTATGTATGATATGTGTATGGTGCAGGTGAAAGCTTGAATGCAAGTTACCTGAGTCCATTCGTGGAATCTGTGGGCGCAAATTTCACGAATGGGGTAAACTTTGCTATGAGTGGTTCTTCTATTATTCCCACCTCTGATTTTTTTAGCTTGCAAAACCAAGTGGCTCACTTTGGTAGATTCAAACGCCGTTCCCTAGATTTCTTCTATGAAGGTTCTATATACGTACTCTGTAACTTTTTATTATTATAGTTAATGCAGGCCAGGTCACATTAATCGCCTACTCAATCTCTGATTATGTGCATCTTTTGTAGAGGACAAAGATTTACTAGGGAACGAGGAGTTTGAGAATGGGCTGTATCTGATTGACATAGGACAGAACGACCTTGCCACCGTATTTGGTATTCATACATATGATGAAGTTGTAAAGAGGATTTCCACTCTCATTTCAGAAATTGAAAACTCCATGTGGGCGAGTCCTGTATTTTAAAGCTGCACTAATATAGGCATATAGCTAGGGTGCATATGTGCAGTACATAAATTTGACAAGATTTCCATTCAATATATAGGTCCTTTACCAACAAGGGGCAAGGAAGTTTTGGGTCCACAATACAGGGCCTCTGGGTTGCTTGCCAGAAATATTGGCAAGCAGAAAGTATTCAGCCAGTGAGCTTGACCAGTATGGATGTGTTGTCACTGTTAACAAAGGTGCACGCGTATTCAACGACGAGCTCCTTCGCCTCTGCAACAAGCTCACCCGCGAAATGAAGGATGCCGTAATAGTATATGTGGATGTACACAACATCAAATACGACCTGATTGCGAATTCCTCCACGTATGGTTTTGAGAATGCCATAACAGCATGCTGTGGCTATGGTGGGGGGCAATACAACTTCAATTACACCACCCTGTGTGGCGTGCCCGGGTTTGAAGTGTGCGAGAAGAGATCAGAACACGTAAACTGGGACGGCTTTCACTACACCGAAGCGGCTAACAAATTTGTTGCCACTCAAATACTTTCCACTCGTTACTCCTCCCCTCAGCTGGCGCTCGCTGATGTTTTACTCTCTTCAATTGCTGCTCCCGCACCCGAGCCTGCTTGAAAAAGTTGAAAAATGCCCTTTGACAATTGTATTAAGTAATGCTCCCAATTTTTAATTTCAATGCTGGTGCATCACTCAAAGTTTGGTTGTTTAGGTAGACATCAAATGTCAATTGCAATATGTGCAACTCTTGTTCACTTAGGTGATATATTAAGTTTCTACTTCTTCATATGAATAACTTGACTTCTTTTTTTTCTGTTTTTACGGTAATAACTCAACCCTTGTCTCTAGAAATAAGTTCCAGAATAATATTTCATGAATAGTCTTTTATAATACTCGTAGAAGATTTTTATATATAACTTTCAATTTTAAGATATTATATTCGTGATCCTCGATATTTGAAATTCATTTTATAATTAGTCTTTCATCCAAATATTGTTTTCTACAAACAATCCACAAATACCGAGCACTAATAATATACTCTCTCCGTCCATTTTTTCTTTCCATTATTAATAATGTGTAAGATCTCACTTTTTTCAAATTTATTTTATTTATAAATTGGTATATCAACAAAAGTAAAATTTACATTGTTCAAAACTATATTAAAAGTTTTACAAAACAAGATGTGACAAAAATATTTTATCTTATCAGATTAATGAAAATGTGCAAACAAATAAGACTTTTTTAGCATTGAAAAATGAATTAATATAGATCTTATATATTTATAATTTTCATATTTTATATTTTTATTATTTCTCATGTAAAAGTTTTATTTTAGATAACCAGTTAGGTCAACTTGAACCGAGTTACTCTGTATATTGTATCATGATTTATGAACATGCATTTTTATTGCCACTCCATTCTTACTCGAATTCAAAATATCCAAATTTAACTTGACCGATCGAGACCAACTATAATTTCTATCAATCAAGAGCCTTATATGTAACTCCTTGATGATGAGTTGTGTTTTTGTGATTCTAAAGTTCATGTGTAAAATGAGGATTTCTCACATAATTTTAATGAGCTGAGTGTTGAAACTTTTTTTTTTCAAATTAAATTTAAAGGTCTAATACTTTCATTATATCTACATTAAGGTTCATAAAAATAGTGTGAACCTAAGGATAATAAAAGAATTAGCCCTTGATGACATGATGAGTGTATGTTTGTAATTTGATAAATTATTATTCAAAGACTTTGATTAATACTTTAGGACTTGTGCTCAATTCCTTCATGATTTTGTCAAAAGAGTTCCTTTACGACTTTGTCCCTAAATAATTCCGAGTATTTTTTTCACTTTTCTTTTTGGAAATATCAAGACCATTACTCCTAGAATTGTTCGATTTTACATAAATCTTTTGAGATTTAATAAATCGTAGCGATTCTATTCGAATTTTCATATGTTGACATTGGTGCTCCAACGTTGACATATGTTTACATCCGTGCTCCAACATTGGGAGAAGAGATATAAACAAATATCCCCTCCGGTCTTAAAATTTTTTCATGTTTCGACTTTTTTTGTCAAACAGTAACACTCTTTCTACAAACATATACTAGTATTACCATATACCACCTCTGGTCCTAAAAACTCTTCCACATTTATAAATGTTATAAAGATTTGATATATCAAAATTATATCTTAAGATGAACCTAATTATATTCAATATATATTATAAATCAATATACTACTCTCATAATTTAGGGCCAAAGAGTCACAGTTTGACCAAAAACAATCGAAACAAGAAAAAATTTAAGAACTCAAAGGAGTATCAATTCTTGGAGCAGCAATTTTAGCATTTGAAAATTTTGAAAGCATCTACGTGATTTGTTGAATCTCAGAGTGTTTATGTAAAATCGAGCCATTCTTAGATTTCTTTTGAGAATGTCTTTAATTGATTTTTCATTTTATTTTAAAGATAGAATTATAATCCGTATTGTTTACATTCTTGCATGGGTGAATTTACTTAAATAATACTAAAACATAATGACTTTTCCTAAATGGCATCGTATGTGTTTTTTTCCAATGTGACACTTTTAGTCATTATCTTTTAGTTATTATTCAAGTAAATATTTATTCAAGTAAATATTTGGCATCAGTGGACATTATTCCTCTTTCTGGATATATTAAGTACTCCCTCCGTCCCAAATTATAATGCATGTTCACTATTCATATCGTCAAACTTCATTCACTTTCTTTCTCTATTTTTGTTAGCAATTTGATAAAATAAAGTATTATTGTCACTACTAGTTTTGTAGATCTTTTGATGTAGTATTTTAATATGTAATTTTTATTTTTTAACTATATACCATTTGTCATATAAAATAATTTGAAAAATAATTTCAGTCAAACATCGTAAACCGAAACAGGCGTTATAAAATGGGACGAAGGGAATACTACCTCCGTAGCGCCTGTTTTGGTTTACGATGTTTGACTGAAATTATTTCAAACCATTTTATATGACAAATGGTATAGAATTAAAAAATAAAAATTACATATTAAAAAACTACATCAAAAGATCTACAAAAACTAGTAGTGACAATAATATTTTATTTTATCAAATTGTTAACGAAAATAGAGAAAGAAAGTGAATGAAGTTTGACCCTGTGAATAGTAAACAGACATTATAATTTGGGACGGGGGGAGTACTATTTAGAGAATAAAATAATTTAAGTACTATTTAAGAAAATGACTTAAGTTTTAATACTATTTAGTCTAAATGTTTCTTCTTTCATGTCCAAAAACTTCAATTTTTTTAAAATCCGCATAATAGAAAAATAAAAATCCGTAAAAAATGTTAAAGGAAAAGTGACAATATTACGACTGGCGGGTGTGCAACGATACAGTCAGAGAGGAACAGAGACAAATTTCCACCCTTTGCTATAGAGAACACTTTATACAATTCTTTATCATATATCCTTCTCTCACTCTCTTTCCAAATTGAAGAAGAAGAAGAAGAAGAAAGAGAGGAAGTAGTTGGTGCAGGGTAATGGGCGCCGCTGGTGTAAAGGAAAGATCATCATCATCATGCCTTGTTCTTCTTCCTCCCCTCTCCTCCATTATTCCTCCTCCATTATTTCTGGTTTTCATTGCCACTTCACTACTGCTCCTTTCTGGGTGTCACCCGGCACCACTCATCTTCAATTTCGGCGATTCCAATTCCGACACCGGAACCTACTTCGTCATGCGCGGAACCATCTCCCAGCTCCCACTAACCCTCGCCCAATCTCTGTCGCTCCACTTCCAGGGCCGCATGTCTGATGGACGACTAGTACTCGACTTCTGGTGTGAGAAAGAAACGATTTTTATTTATAACTCGCCAAATGGGCTGTTGGGCTCTCAAAGGGTCTTCTCTCAATTACTATTGCTTGATAGTTTGATTGATGCTGTTATGGCATTGGGTGCAGGTGAGAGTTTGAATGCAAGCAGCCACCTGAGTCCGTACGTGGCATTCAAAACCTCGGGTTCGTTCGTTCTGGGGGCATAATCTTTTGTTTGTTTCAGGGGACACATATTTACTAGGGGATGAGGAGGAGTTTGAGAATGGGCTTTATGTGATTGACATGGGACAGAACGACCTTGATGCCGCATTTGGTTCTCAGCCATTTCCTAATTATGAAGCTGTACAGAAGGCGATCCCCTACTTCATTTCTGAAATTGCAAGTGCCATCAGGGTGAGTCCTCCCTCCATATTTCTACTACTCCATTGTTATAACTTCACTCTCTTTTAGGGTGGACAAATTTGCCAAACAACATAGTGTTGTTTATGTTGTTTTTGCACTTTCAAAATGGCTCTCTAGCTGTCTGTCTGTTTGTGCATATATATAATGTAACATAAATATATATATATAGGGCCTTTACCAACAAGGAGCAAGGAGATTTTGGGTGCACAACACAGGGCCGCTTGGTTGCCTGCCAAAAGTATTGACAAGAAGAAACTATTCACCGGGTGAGCTTGACGAGCATGGATGTGCGATATCCGTTAACAATGGCGCACTTGAATTCAACAGGGAGCTCTTTACCCTCTGCAACCAGCTTCGCCCTCAAATGGAGGGCGCCGTAATAGTATATGTGGATGTGTACAGCATCAAGTACGACTTGATTGCGAATTCCTCCGCGTATGGTTTTGAGAATGCTATCACAGCATGTTGCGGCTATGGTGGGGGACAATACAACTACAAGTCTACCTCCCTGTGTGGTGCGCCGGGGTCTAAAGTGTGCGACAAGAGGTCGGAATATGTGAACTGGGACGGTACTCACTATACCGAAGCGGCTAATAGATTTGTTGCCACCCAAATACTTTCCACTCGTTACTCCAACCCTCGTCTCGCACTTTCCGACCTTTTTTTCTAACCTCCTGTTGTTGCTGCTCCTGCACACACATGCTTGTAAGTGGCTCTGTTTTTTCATTCCCATCTGGGATCAGAATGAACAAGAGTTGAAAATTGCACTTTATGTGGGGAGAGTTGAGAGCATCAAGTGAAAAGCAAATAAGTCAATGTCACTTCATTTTTCCTTTACTTGAGCTAATACATTGGGAAGGAGGAAGTGTAAGACTTTTTTTATTTTTATTTTTGTAGAAAATGTATTACTTGGCATCTGAATATGAGTGCCTTAAGAAGATATCATTACACATATCTGTTCATAGGTGTATTAGTACATTATTAAATTAATTACTTGTTCATAGGTTAGACAACTTAGTCTTTGAAAACAAATGACAAATGCAAGTGTTTTTTAAGTGACATGATTATATTATTACTTTAGATTCTCTAAAGAAAAGTCAAATATGCCTTGTCATAGAGTGAAGGGACTCGACATGCCTTGTCATAGAGTGAAGGGACTCGTTGTCGTCATTACTCTTATAGACAAGTGGTATCAACCACTCCTCCAAAGTTCTAATAATTAGCCAGATGAATATATGATGATACTCATTATATGGTTGACAAAAAATACAACTTAAAGAAAGCAATCCGGAAATCAAAGTGATGGGAACGAGTAACCCAAAAAGCATAATGCACCTAACAAGCCATAGATAGAGTTACATATATGGGATGATACAATGTCTAGTCTAGTAGAAAAAAAGGGCAAAATGAAGTTGGTATTACAACATCCAACAGAGCAGGACGGGCGCCAGCAGGGTGTTCGTGCAAAGGGGTGTGTCTACTAAGGAAGGAGGACGACTGCATTTGGGGAGGATCTCGGGCACTCAAGCAGTCTTTGTATTACACTTACAAAGTCAACTGTTCTTATAACGTGAACCACCAACCTTTCCAAGACCTTACTCCTCTTTAGCAAAATTTCAGCCAATTCCAACATCGGTTCGCCATCATCATTTGGCTCTGGCCATATTGTGATTTCAATTCAGATGCAGTAGGTCACCCCTCAAATCATGCCTTGCACCGGCAGGTGATCCGCCCATTGTCTAAGAAACCCATAACACAATAAAACCACCAAAGCTGAAATCAAATACGCAGTATAAAAAATGCAAGTGTTTTTTGGTAATATACACATCACGCATACAACACACACACAACATGCATTAAAGAAACAGAGCTGTTTAATGTATGAGGAAGTTTGATTTGATGTGTCATTTTATTTGGTACTTTATTTAGCCAACGCTAAAATATTGCCAATAGCAACACTTTTAGCTCCATGGGCAACGGCCGACTACATAAAGATATCAGTCTCTTTTCCAATTCATGATCCTTTCTTGCGCCATCAGAAAACTACTAGCAACACAAGACTCTATATACATTCTAGAACTAACAGTTTTTTACAGTAGTATAATGCTTGTTTAATCTTCTAACAAGATAGAGATGTAAGCAACAAAGATCGAAACAAAATTAGCCTCACAAACTCATGCCTTGAATTAGAAACAGAATACTTACCTTCTTGGGTTTATAGCCATCTATGCCCAATGTCTCAACGTATGGAGAGGAATCCAGCAGGCATGCAATCCCAGAAATGCTCTCCTCATTGCATGAAGTGCTTACTTGCAGTACCCTTCGATCAGACTGTGGAAGCTCCCATCCATTCATTGCCAACATCGATAGTACCTATCATAAACATTGCAGAAACCTATAAAACAGTACATCAGGCAGGTTCTAAGTGCAGCATAGAAATACGAGCATGATTTCTAAGTTTATTCCTTATGTGCTTAATAGGTCCAGTTAATACATAAGGAGCTAAAGGTTTGGGTTGGAGGCAAATTTTGGAGTGTAAAGCAGGTCGAGGCTGAGTATTTGGAGTGCAAATTCAGATTGCATGAGTCGGAAGAAGAGGTTAAGATATAGTCTCAAGCCATCCCCAAAAGGGTATATTTCACGCACCTGATCAATCTCCAACGCGATGGAGAGATTGAAGGTAACATCGTGCATCGATCGGAGCAAACTGAAATAAATGGAGGCTCACATTTGGAGCCATGTGTGATAAGAATATGTCACCAAAACTGAAAGGTAAATTTCATTGGGCAGTGGTTAGACCTGCTCTACTGTACGACATAGTGGTGTGCGAGGTAGAGTGTTGACGAAATAAAACCACACGCTTGAGCAACAAATACGAAGATGCTTAGGTGTATACATGGAAACACTTAGAATTAGAGTGATAATATTAGAAAGGGATATATACAGCAAGGTGGGAGTGATTTCTGTGGAGGATATGATTATCTATCAAAATTAAGGTGGTTCAGGCACGTGCAGACAAGGAGCATTGGTGCTCACGTGAAGAGGGGAAACGAGATTAGTGGTGGAAAGTTTTATGAGGTAGGGTAGTCGTAAGAAGATTAGGGAGATGTGATTCGACATGCATGTAGTTTCTGCAGTTGACTGAGGAAATGACCCATAACACGGGGGTTTGGGGAAAAGATTAAAGGGGTAGAGTAGTTCAACTTGGTTATGGATTATAGGAGAGTGTTAGGTTTAGAACATAGTTACAGCGCCAAGGCGAGACGCGATGCTAGTGTACCGCCATGACACCTAGGCGACTAGGCGGAAACGCATAAGAAATCAGGATTGGTATACATAAGTAACACTAATTTCTTGTTTGGAAGAAAGAATACAAGAGCGGAAAGAAAATTTTGGGTGGAAAATAAGGAGGCATGTATATGTATTGTGTTTGGAAGAGGGTGGATAATAAGGAAGGATGGAGAACATGAAAGTATTTTCCTTCATAATATTTCCATTAAAAATGGGAGGAAAGGGTGAATAGAAACTACTAAGATATAAATAAGAGGTAAAATAAGGTTTATTTTCCTTCCACCCTATTAGATCCAAACACAAGGAGGAAAAATAACTTTAACTTCTTCCTCCATATTTTCCATCATTATGTGAAATTATTAGTTGATGCCAACTAAAAGTGAAATTATTATTTTACCACTGTCTTTCCCATTCTCAATTAATCTACCTTATTCTTGTCCCCAACTCTTCAACTCTAGTTGAGTAGCTGTTTGTATCCCAAATTCTGATGTTATTTCACCCACATCTGGACCAAAAACACATTATAAAGCTCTTGCCTTTGTTTGTTGTCCACATTGAACCCCTAAACTTCTAACAAGACTTATTACGAACATCAAAGGAAAATGTAATCCCCACCAAGCCCTTCTATTTTTGCATCTTTCTCTAGGTTTTTGTTAGCATACGACATCTCAATCCATTTGGCTGATGCTTATGGTAGATGAAATGTTTCCAAGATGCAAGAATGTTATAATTACCCTAGAGTATATAACAAGTCTTTTGCAATCATGGTAGGTGAACTCAACCTCAAAACAACTCAAAAAGCGTGCATTATAAATGATAATGGTCCTGTTGATCGCAGCCAGAAACCGGCTTATTTTCTCAGTATCCACACTACTGTAACTGAATTTGAGTCTTGGCACGAACAGCCAGAGATGTTTCCATCTTTTTGACAACACAGAAGTAATCACACCTTCCCTTGTATCCAAACGCGATAGAATGTTAAAAAGCAAGAGGATAGGCAATGCACTGAGCCGATCAAGGGGCATATCATTATTCCCTAAAGACACTGAGGCTGTTCCTCCGTCATTTTCCACCAAACGCTCCTCTTCCTCATCATCATCACCATCATCATCATCATCATCATCATCACCATAGTCATCATCATCATCATCATCTTCTTCTTCTTCTTGGTCTTCACCAATTTCATCTAGTGCTCTTGCTTCACCTTCTGCGCCAGATTCTTCTGCCCTAACTTCATTGTCCGCCATAAATTCATCATTATCGCCAACTTCATCTTCCATTTCTTCTCCGTCAACAGAGTTTTCCTCATCTTGGTTTACTTCTTCACCAAAGGCTAAATTCATGTGATCTTTCGTCGGCCATTGCAGCATTAAACAAAAATCACAAACTACACGGTATGAATTCGAAATTCAAACATCAATTAAAACAAAATCAATTAAGAATAGCTCTGGCCTGACCTTCCGTTGCTTGCGCAGCTGACGATTCCTCGGTGAATTGTATGTCCATCTACACAAGTCGCAATGGCATCAGCCAAACTAACGGGACCCGAGAAAGAAAACCAGGGTTGTGCCGACCCCAACAGAAATACATGAAATTACAATAGAGCACACTTGGTTGGAGGTAGGTAAACTTTTTATTTTACGGAGTATTAGGTAGGTAATTGAAGGTAATTGAAGGTAGGTAATTGAAGGTATGTAAAGTAAGGTAATGAGTTAAAAAATTGTCTTTTGATGTTTATTAGGTAACGTGAAGTAGAAAAAGACTAAAATTACTAAAATATCCTTGGGGTTGTTTTTCTTTATTTGTTTAGGATGTATTTATATAAAATTAGAATTTATTTAAATGTAAAATTTTTAAATTAAAGGAAATTGGAAAATTGAAGTGCAAAAGTAAAAATTGCAAAAAAATGAAGTGCAAAAGCAGAGCAGAACGAAAAAGCATAGCAGAACAAGAATCGAAGTGCAAATTGAAAAGTGAAGTGCAAAAGAAAAATTGAAAATTGCAGCAAAGGGGTTATGGCGACTCAATTGATCTGAGATCGGATAGAATCTGAAGAGAAGAAGAATCTGCCGATGGAAGAAGAGATGGCGACTGAACAGATCTTGAGATCGGATACGACTAGCGAAGGGCAGCTGCGGAACTGAATCTGATTACCTAGGTGTTTCGCGAAATCGGCGGTAGCCTAAATTTCACTGTTACGCGGTGAAGCAACCGCCATTCACCTCCCCTTACCTATCTCTGTTTCTTCTCCAAACAAGGTAGATTTTAATTGTTACCTCATCCTACCTTCACCTCCCTCTATCCAAACACAGCGTTAATCTTCACAACAAGTTGATTTTGGCTTTGGAATCAAATTTTGACTCCAAAGTCAAAATCAACATATAGGTTGCTATTGAAAGGGGTGGAAGGTGTGTTCAGGCCGGGACCGGGTGGGATTTACCGGGAATTAGGAGGGTAGGAAACGTCTATTTTAATACAATATAATAAAAATTTAAAAGTTCTCAATAAGATAATTTGTACTAATGTGTATGATCATTTTTTATTTAATCGAATTCCAAAATTTATCAATAAGATAATTTGTACTCAATAAGATAATTTGTACTAATGTGTTCGAAACAAAAAGTCAAATTAGACGTATACAAAAGTAGTCAAACTGGACGAATACTAACATTTAAACTTTAAACACAGCGGAATATATTAAGATTTAGGAGCTGTTTGGCAACTTCTGAATAGGTAAGAGCTGAACCAGTAAGAGGTCTGAACCATTAAGTGCTGAACCAGTAAGAGCTCTGAACCATTAAGAGCTAGTATATTGCTTTAACTATTCAGAGGCAAATGTCTGATCAATTCAGATAAGAGGTCTTAACCATTCAGACTCTGTATAATACTTAACCAATCAGAGGCAAATCTCTTAACCATTCAGACATCTGAACCATTAAGAGGCTGAAACAAACAGTCTGAATCATTAAGTGCGGAACCATTCAGACATCTGAACCATTAAGAGTCTGAAACAAACAGTCCCTTAAACACTAATCCTAGACCAATCACCACCACCACCACTTCCGTCTGAATCCAGGTCCAATCAATTGCGGTCTATTTTTAGGTCCCAAACTTTTGGTCCGTTTGAACACAGCGGAATTACCCATTCACTTCTCTCCCCTCACAATGGTTAAACCCTAGCTAGCTAGCATCCCATAAGCATCATCGATCACCTGCCACAAATGGTTCGCTTGCAGTCTGTACGTGTTAGGGAAGAGAAAACGAGGCTCTAACAGGAATCGGCTGAAGAGATCGATCGAGCTTGCAGGTAACCAATTCAAGAGTATTTTTTCAGTTTCTTGCATTCGGAACTGTGACCATGTTTCCGGTTTTCCTCATCGCCCCCGCTGCTCTTGGCGTACTCACCACTATTAGTCGCCAGTCACCATAGCCACTTTTAAGAAGATCAACAACAATCGTTTGTCCTTCAAACAGGTATGATATTTTTTGGTTTCGGTTTTTGCACAGTTTTTGAGGTCAAAACGTTTACCAAAAGGACTTTTAAGATAGAAAATGGTTTATGTTTTTATTAATCAGATTTTAATATTTAAGTGGGGAGTGGGGACTTTTATTAATTAGATTTTAATATTTTGATAGAAATCAGTTATTACTATTTAAAAGTGGAGACTTTTAATATTTTAAACATGTTGTTCTATATTTTTGCTATTCTCTTTCATGTGCAGCTTATTGGCATTTCTGTTTCTGTTTAAACATGGTCAATTAATTGTGTATTCACTGCATTGAGTTCAATTATAGAGATAGAACCATTGATAGAGCCCAAAAAAGTGTGAATTATGTTTGGAGCATTGGTTTTTTCACTCGGGTCCCGGTCCAGTCTTATACCTAGTCTTATGCTCCTATTCGGTCCACTCTATTTGGTCCCGGTCCAGGTCGGTCTGGGTTTAGACCGATGCACAGCCCTAAAGCCCCTAACAAGGAGCACAAATTATGTTAATTTATGTGGAGAAAAACACTGAAATCAGAGAATAATTGAGTTCAACTTGTGGCTTTTTCTAAGTTAATCAAACACTTAAAAAGCATATATAGGAATTTTGTTTAATTTTGCTCCTTGAATATTTTTTAGTGGCATGTTTGAGAGTTTGAATTTGCATTTTAAGATTCAAATTTTATGTTTGAGAATCTTAAAATTTTAGATTTGGATTTGCGTTTGAGACAACAACAACAACATCCCAGTTGAATCCCCTGGACAAATTTCTCTAATTAATATCAAAACTACAATATATCTCCCCTTGTAGTTTGAAGTTTAAGAATTCAAATTTTGGGATATCAATGGAAGAATTTAAATGAAATACTAGTTTCCAAACATTACTTTAGGTTTCACAATTACGATTTCTATTGAGATCAGGGGTTTGAGAGGATATATCATATATGTCATTTATTATGTCATGAAAGACAGTATCATCTAGATGCAATATGCAAAAGACACAAAGAACGTTGGAGTGATGAGATTGTAACAATGACATGCTGCAAGTGGTATACCATAGATGGTAAGAGCACCGCACTTGATTGCATGAGATGGTGGCAAAGGATTGCCATCATCTCCAAATCGTCTTGCTTTTTTATTCTCTTTAGTAACAAAAACAATCATGACCATGCCAATAGCCAAAATGAAGAAAACAATGCCCCATAATCTTTTCACACCATCAACATTTTTTGAACAAGAACTCACACCCAAATATGCAAAACCCTAACGTCATTGAATTAATCAACAGACCCAATGCACCTGCCCTAGCTCACACCAGCATCATAAGCAGTGGTACCAACCTCACCTGTTTCAAAATAATATAGTCGAATCATAAGTTAAGAATTGATAATAAATTCCTAAACCAATTTATCTATCCATCATCTACAAAATGCATGCATCTAATTAGTACTTATGTAGAATCATTAAACAACACACATCACATATTTGGATAAGCTAAAATTTGGCATAATTAGCTATTCATGGCTTGTTAAGGAAGTTCAATATTGCTATTGTTGGATGGCCAATAGTCAATCAATTATGATCTCAACGAGTATATATTTCTCGCTAACTAAAGAAAGAAGAGAGAATTGTTTTGCCAGAGTAAAAAGGAGAACAATCCATTGCAGTCAGAATTGCTTGTGAGTCAACAATTTCATCCAAAATCCCTAGAATCTTGGGATTGCTACATCATATCTTAAAGAATCTGCAACTACAGACAAATAGTTCAATAGAAAAACATACAAACCATTAAATTACATAAAACATACAAAGCTAGACCACTTTTCTTTTACCTATAACCCACTAGAGGGGAGGAGTGACCTATCGATGATTTCACTGAAGAACTCTAGAATTTTAGGCTTCTTCTCTAGTGTATATTGAAAGGTGCTCAAATTCAAGAAAGTAGTATAAAATACAACAAATCAGCATTACCAGATAAAGTAAAAGTAAATTAACATTGCAAAGGATTTTTTGCGGATGTTCAAAAACTCTTATTCTAATAATAAAGCAACAAGGGACATAACTATTTAAGGAATTTTAAAGGTAAGAAAAGAAAAGGGTTAAGCGAAAGAAGAAGAAAAAGAATTCGAATTCTAAACCCAAGAAATGAGTGAGTTGGGTACATGGCCTAAATATGTTGATATACGATGATCAGTGGGTTGCCATAAGTCTATTTCACATTATTCATACTTAAGCTAGTTGCTCTTAGAATTTACTTGTGGGCAATGGATATAGATGAGGAGGACAACATGTTGATTTGTCCGGCTCTCTCGAGGTTATAGTTCAGTCACTGTTGTTTGCTTCACTGGTGCTATAGTGTTGAAAGCAACAACAGAATATGTACAAAATGTTGTATTGCATAGGATGTTGGTCTTTCCTGATGCCAAAACGGATGGCTATAGCATCATTCACGGCCAGAATTTTTTTTCCCAAGTTTGAATCAGTGAGCATTTGAAGTCTATTGATGATAAAAGAAATGAGCACCATTTCAGATTTCTTGATTATACTTTAGACTTCCTAAGAGGTGTAAGTCTAGGTTGTTAGGATAGTGAAGAATAGTTTGACAACATTTTGAGTTGAGAATTTGTTATAGACATGAGTGCATAGCAACAGGTGCAAAAACCATGAGGCTAGAATGGATGCAATTGTATGCTTCCAACATTCTCAGTAAGTTTCTTAGCGTATGTCAAGCAAGGCTTTGATTCTACTCTCTTGGGACTAACTCCAAACAAATAAATACTGAAATGATATTATGTTAAGGATTCTGTGTTTCTGGCAGAACGGGTATTAGTTTTTTTCTTGATGTTTTGAGCTTTTGCATTTTTATGGGTTCTGAAGTTTTGTTTCACACATTTTTATGGGTTTTTTTTCTCTCTCTCTCTATTTTTTTTAAAAAGGTAAAATATTTCTTTAACCTGTAACCCTGAAGATAAAAGCTATTTGAAGTTTTGTCATCTTTCTTCTCCTCTCTATCATCATCTTTTCACAGTGCCTTTGTCATTTGGAATCAAACTATAGGAATTATAACCATATACTAGTAATCAATAGGTTCATGTAGTATTTGATCTAAATTATATTGACCATGAATTTCACTTTCAAGTTCTTGTCCCACACCTTGCAAATGATTAATGATATTCAACATCAAACAGATGGAATTTCCGAGATACTTAAAAATCCTATTAACAGGTTTAGTTGCACCACTCTTTCCTCCTTTCTTCTTTTTTCCACTTTAGAAAGATTGTTTTGTGGTAAACCTTTATAGCGTCTTATGTGGTGTAATTCCTAATCTATTGCTTGAATTTTCTCCACATAGTTATCAAATTGCCCGGACAATTTGACTTTACTTAGAAAACCTACCTCAACCATGTTGATCAAGTTTTAGATACTCTGTATTAAATAGGAACAAGAACTCATCATTGCAATTCTACACTAATGGATTCATGAAGATGTAATATGAGATTTTCCTCCAAAAAATATAATATACAAAACACTATTCTATGATTACAATTTCGACAAATATGGCGATAAATAGTATTAAACTTGTCAAGATCATAAAGTTCTTTGGCTTGCTTCTTATCATACAAGACATCATTGCAAAGTTCTACAAACTTCTTTGTGCACATGAGAGCTTTCTTGACTTTTTTTCAACAACTTCAAGAATCAAAATCACAAGTTCTTTCACATCATTGATACATATTTCACCTCTTTTAGTCTCTCTTCTCATCTCTATCTCATCAAGCACAATAGCACATTTTAAGCATGGTCCCCTTTGTTTTAACTTTTTTATTATGTTTCTTTCTTTGTTTTGTTTCTTTTTTAAAATTGCAATTTTCTTTGTGCATGTTTAGCAAGATTTGAAGAGGTGAAAACATGTATCAATGATGTGAAGGAGCTTGTGATGTTGATTCTTGAAGCTGTTAAAAAAAGTCAAGAAAGCTCTCATGTGCATAAAGAAGTTTGTACAGCTTTGCAATGATGTCTTGTATTATAAAAAGCTTGCCAAAGAACTTAGTAAGATCTTGACAAGTTAAAGTATAATGTTATTTATTGCTATATTTGTAGAAATTTTAATCTTAAAATACTGTTATATATATATATATTCTATTTTTTGTAGGAAAAACTCACATTACATCTTCAAGAATCCATTGGTGTATGATCGCAATGATGAGTTCTTGTTCCTATTTAAGATCTAGAACTAGATCAACATGGATGGGGCAAGTTTTCTAAGTAAAGTGAAATTGTCTTTGTAATTTGATAACTGTTTGGAGAGGATTCAAACAAGGGATTAGAAATTAGACCATATAAGACGCTATAAAGGTTTACCACAAAAAAATCTTTCAGAGGTGGAAAAAAGAAGAGGGGAGGAAAAAGTGGTGCAACAGAACCTGTTAATAAGATTTTAAAGTATCCCAAAAATTCCATCTGTTTGATGTTGAATATCATTCACCATTTCCAAGGGGTGTCACAAGAACTTGAAAGGGAAGTTCGTGGTCTGTACAATTTAGATCAAATGCTCCATGAAGTTGTTGATCGCTACTATATGGATGTATAATTCTTATAGTTTGGTACCAAACGACCAAGGCACTGTGGAGTGTGGAAAGATGATGATAGAGAGAAGAAGAAAGATGACAAAACTTCAAATGACTTTTATCTTTAGAGTTACATATTAACAAAATATTTTACTCTTTTTTAAATATAGAGAAAGCCCCTGGGGAAATTGTGAAACAAAACTTCTAAACCCATAAAAATGCAAAACCCAAAGCATCAAGAAAAAAACTAATACTTGTTCTGCCAGAAACACAAAATCCTTAACATAATATCATTTTAATATTTATTTGTTTGGAATTAGTCCCAACACAGTGGAATCAAAGCCTTGCTTGACATGCCCTAAGAAACTTGTTGAAAATGTTGGAAGCATACAATTGCATCCATTCTAGCGTCATGATTTTTGAACTTGTTGATCTGCACCCATGTTTAAAACAAATTCTCTGCTCAGAATGTTGCCAAACTATTCTTCACTTTTCCAGCCACATTGACATACACCTCTTAGAAGTCTAAAGTATAATCTATAAATCTGAAATGGTGCTCAACTCTTTTCAGTAGCATCAGAAAACACCAACAACTTATGCCATACAACATTTTTTGTAGATTCTGTTGCTGTTGTTGCTATTCTATTCAACACTATAGTAGCACTAATTGAACCATAATCTGGAGAGAGGTCATCTAATCAACATGTTGTCTACCTCGTCCATATCCATTTCTCATAACTAAATTCTAAGAGCAACTAGGTTAACTAAATTCTGTTGCGTTCTTTTTTTTTTTTAAAAAAAATTAAGTTTTTACTACCCACTTTTAGAAAAAAATTTCACCCTTATAATTAATATCTCCATTTCTTATCTATATAACTTTCAATTATATAATTCCATTTTATAATTTTTGGGTCAATTTCAAGGTAAAATCTTTTATGGGACGGAAGGATCGGAGTATAATTAATAATGCTATCTTTTTCTTTTTTTGTTTAAAGTGTGGAGCAAAGTAATGAACTACGGAGTATGTTTCTTCATTATATAATATTGCATGTTTTGTATTATCAGTATTATTATTGTTGTTGTTGTTGTTGTTGTTATTGTCTTTGTTGTTCTTATTATTATTGTTATTGTTGTTCTTAATAATAATAATAATAATAATAATAATAATAATAATAATAATAATAATAATAATCCGTTTGGGTTTGGGTGTAATTTATTAGCCATTTAAGTGAATGGTTAACCAGCTTCACTTTGTGGCAAATTCTTATTAATTAGTACACGAATATTATAAAAGAAAAAATCTACCTGTTAACTCTTCAATATTCAGAAAAATAATAAAAACTTTTATTTATTTGTGCGGTTTGATTGATTATTTAATAAAATAAAATATTCTTGTTATCTTTTGTTTTGTTTAACTTTTAACGTAACATAGTTTTTAAATATATGAAGTTTATTCTTAATTTCGATACCAATTTTTAAATAAAATAACTTTAAAAAAGTAAAAATTGACTACATTCTGAGTAAAGTGTAAAATATATTGAGACGAGGGCGGGGAGTATGAAATTATGTCAAAATGTCAAATTATAGTAACAATATTTCTATTTAAGAGACATAACACACGATGGCACAAGATCTTTTTTGTATAAGAGCATGGCCCATGGCAAGTACAAAATAAAATGGACTGCCAGACGGTAACATTAAATATTCTAACCAATTAAAATTCGTCCAGTCAGCGTGTGGCAAGTGAATGAAATGACATGCCTTGCAGTGGCAAGTCATTATTTTTGCCAGTTTTTACACTTTTTCAATGTATTTTAATAATTGAATTTTTTTACTTATCTTTTTTAATAAAGTTAATGCATTCCTTTTTTTAAAATAAAAAAAAATCTTTTTTCTACAACAAAAAAGAAAAAGAAAAAAAGAAGAGAAGATGCCTCTCACCACGCAGCTACTATACCATGCTTAGCATGGCAAAAATATGGGTTTCTAATAAACATTTGGAAACAACCTCTCTGATTTAATTTTATAGAGGTAAAGTTGACATGCTGTGTACATATATATCTTTGAAAACAATGAACAACCAACAATTGAATTGGATAAAATTCTGGCAAACCGCAAACCCACGGCCGTTTGCCAAATTTTGGCTAAAAGATCAAACAAGTGAATCCCCAATCTAACAGTCACCCAAATGCAAGCTGTTCATCAAAACAGGACAACCTGTTGATAGTATATTGTCGACTACACACAAGCTATTTTAAGGGTTTGGAATTGGTAGTGCAAAGAAAAATGCATTGGAATTGGTGAATTCAATTCTATAGAATTGAGTCCCATGAAATTTTAACTCCAATTCAATTCCAATTCCATCAATTCCTTGTACCAAACGGACTCTTAAAGAAGTCAAAGACTGCCATCCACTTGATTGCTCTTTCAGGCTCAAGAACGCAGCCTTGCGATAATAACAATAATGTCGTCGAATATGTATACATCATCTCATGAAGACGACATAATTAAGTGTTCCTTGTGCTCTAGGGACAAAGCAACATGTTTCACCTGAAGTTTCATGGCAACCACAAGCCAACTAACTATCTATTATGGATAGTAGAGTATGATATATTCATTAGAAATATTTGCACTAAATAGCACTAAAACTTAAGTCATTTCCCTAAATAACACTTAAATTGTTTTATTCCCTAAATAGCACTTAATAATGTCCATAATGTCCACTGGCGGTGAATATTTGTTTGAATAATGACTAATGCATAATGACTAAAAGTGCTACATTGGAAAGAAAAACACATGTGGTGCTATTTAGAGAAAGTCATTATGTTTTAGTGCTATTTAAGTAAATTCCTCATTTTATTATTATCATTGTTGTTGTTGTTATTATTATTATTATTATTATTCAGGTTTTATTAAATGAGCAGAATTATAAGCTCCTTCGAAGTTTTTTACGGTTCTTTTCCTTGTCGCTTTTATTAAACAGTCAGATTAGGTTTATGATTAGCTAGGGTTTTCTTGCCTCCTTTAAATAGAGATCGATGTAGCCTCATTCAGAATATTCAATCAATAAACAAATCAAAACCCTAATCCCTTCTTCTCTCTCGGTTCGCCGATTCTCTTCGCCTAAATTCTTCTTCTTCTTCCTCGTCTCATATCCTCAAGAGCTTGAAGACGTTCTAAGTCTTCCCTATCTGATACGAGTTTGTATCACTATCAACATCGGAAGCAAAGTGTTTGTCGTACTTATGAACCCGAGCTAATCGAATGTAGTCCAACTTGCCCAAAGACTTCACAGAGCGAGTAGCGAGGGTCTTATGAACCCGAGCCACAAACTCACATTTTGCCTCTTTTAAACATAAAAAAGTACCTCAATCTGAGATTTTCGACGTGCTTTGTCTTTGCCCTTATTGTGTTTCTCCTATTCTACCTAATAAGTAAGCATTACTACAGAGTCGTATTCTCCATAATAATCAAGGACAACCTAAAACACGTTGAGAGAGAAAGAGTATAACGAGATTGAGTTGGAAATGTGGCATTGTACAATTGATATTTCCCAGTAATTTTTTGTATTATATGTTGGCTTTAATGCATTATATAATCTATTTTAAAGAAAAAAACATAAAAATCATATTTTGTTTCTTCTCTCAAAGAAAAAAACATAAAAATCATAGCATTATATGTTCTTCTCTTATTTTAGATGTCATGTCAGATAAAAGAAATTCTTGCAATATAAAATATGGTGACTTCTCGTACTATTGGCGTGCAAAAAAAATAATTGAGAACAATATTGTATAATTAGCCAAATCAAAGAGTATTAATGCTATTTTTAAAAAAATGAGTATTAATATGTATTTTCCCAATACGAATTCTGAAATGATGTAATATAGGTAGGGTTGTAAGCGAAACAAATAATTTTGATTTGATTTGCAATTCGTATTTCAAAACAATGGTTCATGTTCACAAAAAGAATACATATAAGAATATGGATATTTATTAGCATTCCAAAACAAAACAAAAAATAAATACAAATATGCATATATTCGATTCAATACCTTGGACGAATATATTCAAATTCAACTAGACAAAAATACGAAGAGAAGAAGTTTCCAACAAAGAGTCCTAGTGACACCTTGTTGGAGACTTGTCCACAATAAACAGTGTAAAACAATAAAGGCAATCTGTTTCTTTCAAAAAAAAAAATTAAAGGCAATCTGTTCAGTGATACACCGTATTTATACTTCACAATGGTTAAGACTAGTGCACTTTTAAAAGTAAGAAAAAAAGAAGAAAAAAAGGTGCTCAAATACAGTATAAGCACATCCAGACTTATTGAATCCATGAAACTGATCAAAGGTATGTTATGATACCAAATGTCACACTGGAAATATCATAACAGTCGAGGGGGAACTACAGAAAAGCAATGAATAATCTAAGGGAAGAAGATGACTGCATCTGGCGAGGATAAGTGAGAAAAGTTTGGCAAATCTTTGACAAAATCACTCACGTTTTCATCAACATTCAACAGTGATCAACATCTCTTCCAAGGTTATTGCCCTCGTTATAGAAGGCACCTAGATTAACATCAGCCAAGTTATACATTGTGACCATCTTAGCTTCGAATGCAATAAGTCCAAATCACTCCTTCCCGGTAGGACTCTAAGAATTTTCAATGGTCCACAGATCACATTCTTCTTGTTTGGGGGATTTGGGGTCATAGCTCCATCATCCTCAGTGGGATTTGTGTACTCAGATCTGATTTGTTTTCACATGGAACATCACAACCCACTTGTGATGAATCAATCAGTTGGAGAATAGTTACAACCTGAAGTGCCAAAAGACTCGTGCATCCTCAAGACCAAAAAGTAGTGATTCAAATGCTTCATCAGAGAGCCAGCCATCATCATCTGTTCTTTCTGGAGTATCATCATAACTTCATACTTGTTGCCCAAAAGTGCCTCAAGTTGAAGGACTGATCATCTTCTCCTCGTGATCAGTAAAATTACCCCTCTTGATCCCTGGCCTGAGGTAAAAATTAGCCCATCTAAGCCAAGCCTGCAACTTTTACTGCATCTTTGCACCCTCATATAGAACACTTGGTCAAGAATTTGAAAATGAGGAACAAATCATAATCCATATATGAGGAAAAAAATAGTAATGATATACATACAAATACGTACATACCAGTGGAAGCAAGAAAACTCTTCCAATTGCCTAGCCTGGACCATATTCTTGAACATATGAAACCAACATTATTACAGAGTGCATCTTCTTCAGGTGTCTATGGATTATTTAGGATTAATTATAATAGTCCAGTCATTGATGGGATTATCATGAATGTTTCGATCCAACATACTCAGAATTTGGATTTGTCCAAGAGGTTCTTCTCATCCCTAATGCAAGCATAATGACCTTTCTAACACCTTTTTCTTATGTATAAACAATTAAGCATTACAATCAATGGGATGAGAAAGAAGGTAAAATATAAGGATGCAAATCAGTACCATCCTCCATAGCCACCGTACCATCTGTGATTGATAAGGGGCTTCCGGCATTACCCAGGGTCACAGCTCACAAGAAGAGATAGCCAGCCAGTATAAATTGAGTTGGAAAAAAAATCCATCCTTATGCTAAAAATCCAGTCTTTACGCTAACTTTTGAATTGCGTTCAGTTCCCCGAAGCTAAAGTAGG